TTATGTTGTACACCTGAAACTAATGTAATGTTGTATGTCACTTATACCTCAATAAAAATAATGGATAAGCCTTTGCAACTCTTTTATCATTCCAGCATGCCCATTAGTCTTACACATAGCAGCTCCTCAGTGAATATTTATTGAATCATGAGCCCTATGATCATTCTAATTAAAATAAGGGGCTTTTATCAAAGGGTAATTACATGTTTAATTATGGGGAAATATGGGAAAAGGGTTATAAAGGTCATCTAAACTATGTAAAATTAGTATAGGTCAGAGTATAAGAGCCCATTAAATTCCACCAGAACACAGTGACTGAGATGGTAAATTATTTTAAAGCATTATTGTCATATTTAGTCATTACCATTAACTATAAAATGGGATTAATATTAATTTTGGTTTACAAAGATAAAATACTTTTAGTTTATAAACAAACCATACACCAAGCTATGACATGCAATTTCTCAGTGTTCATTTCACCCAGGCCTGAAGACGCTAGGCCTTATATGGGGTGAGGTTAAAAATTCCAGTTGGGGGCCGGCTCTGTGGCTTAGCGGTTAAGTGCGCGCGCTCTGATGCTGGCGGCCCAGGTTCGGATCCCGGGAGCGCCCGGAGGCACCACTTCTCCGTCCAACGTGAGGCCGAGTCCCGCGTACAGCAACTAGAAGGATGTGAACCTATGACATACAACTATCTACTGGGGCTTTGGGGGGAAAAAGCTGAATAAATAAAATCTTTAAAAAAAAAAAAATTCCAGTTGGGATCTAGAGAAGCCTAAAGCAGGCTACTTCTAACTTCTCCCAGTCCTCAAGAAGGAAATGGGCCATGTCTTGGCTGGACAGGAACCCAGATCCACCCCGGTCCCAGTTCAAGTCTAGGCTGGAACTGAATAAGGAAATCAGGTTTGAGTAGAACTCAGTCACATTCTCTTTAATGGCGACCTGAAACTTGTCTCAGGGCCTTAACAAATATGTGGTGGTTGGCTGACTTCATCAGCTGACTTTTCTCCCAGCATAACTATTGAAAAAGAAAGTTGGCTGAGATTTACAGGCACCTCTTCTCGCTTGGTGGGTGGTTCGGCTTGGGAAGGAATGAGAACCATTCCATTGATACAAGGAGAAGCTGCTCCCCAGCAGACATAATGAAGGAAATGGTGGTTTAGAAAGAATCTGAAAAATTACTCAAAGATGATTACAGGCTGTCACTGGGAAATGAGGAAGGAAGGGCTTTCTTTTCGACTACAGGGTGTACAGCTCTACAGTCAGAAATTATTATTTTATATTTAGGCCAATGGTAGACTGTAGGCCTTTGAAATGGAAAAAGCAATAATAACTTAAGTACCTGGTGTGACTTAAAAAGCATCAAGATAGATTACACAGGCTATATATGACAACCAGGCTGATTGCTTTATAACATCTCGCATTTCATGTTTCTGAAGTCACTGCTATCAAATAGTCATGGAGGGTCCTCTACGTAGGACACTGGGCATGGTGGACTTAGAGAGTATCAAGCCACGGAGCTATAACTGGACTCATCATTTAGATAAGGAAGAAGGACCACAGGGAAAGTGAACGATACACGCTGCATATGCTAAGGTGCAAATCAGCGACACAACCAAGTCTTTTGTCTGTTCACAGGAGTGTCATCAAAGGAGAATGGAATTTCTGAAATAGCACATGCACTAAAATGAACATGATTCCACTCCACAAAGCAAATAACTTCATTGCAATTTAAAATTGGCAAACGTTTGGGGCCGGCCCGGTGGCGTAGTGGTTGAGTTCACGCGCTCCGCTTTGGTGGCCCGGGGTTCCCAGGTTCGAATCCCGGGTGAGGACCAATGCACCGCTTATCAAGCCACACTGTGGCAGCATCCCACACACAAAATACAGGAAGACGGGCACAGATATGAGCTCAGGGCCAATCTTCCTCAGCAAAAAGAGGAGGATTGGCAACAGATGTTAGCTAAGGGCCAGTTTTCCTCACCAAAAAAAAAAAAAAATTGCAAATATTTGTTCTTGATTAGATTTTGAGAAAGTGGGTGGGGTGATCATCTATAGCAAAGATATCCTTTGATGATTTTCAAGTCCTAATCAAGGGCTTCGTTTTGCATTCTTCATCCTTTCTCTTATGTCACTACTTTTAAAATAGTTAAAGCACAAGAAGAGCCCATTTTGGTGTGCTGAATGATGGCCTGCCCACATACAAATACGTGCATCCTTACTGTATTTGGACAGAACTGGCAGAAACACAGTTACACTTTGTATTTCAGGATGAAAACTGTGTATTACCCCAATCCACCTTTGCTTTCGGTTTCCTTACTCCAGTGAGGTGTAAAAGGGCTTCTCCAAGTTGTAGCAGCTTCTGTTGCAGTTTGATTGCTCCCAGTTCCTGAGCCCAGCCCTGAGAAAGAATAACCAGGTAGACAGGGCTGCGAGCAGATATGAGTTGAAAAGACTTGTCTCAAGTCACACTGCTTAGCAGCTAGAACACTTCGATTACCCTCAATAAACAACATCACCAAATATTCACTCAAGGCAGATTTGACATGCCACAGTGAAATATTTATGTTATATAACACATCTACTCTTGGTATTTAGTGATTCTGTGGAGTGTGAAACAATTGCAACTATAAATTTTTCATGCCAAAAGAAAATATCTTTGCTCCAGAGAATAGAGAACTAAAGCATAAAGACCATCTTCTTTTTTATTTAAAATCTCTTTCCTGGTACCTAAAAGTAAAACCTTAAAAACCATTCATCTGTCCATCTCAAGGGAAATTTGCTGAATAATCACTCTAGGCCAGGACCTGGGCTAGGCATTAGGGATAAAAAGATTCTTAAAAAGATTAATCTACGGCCCCTGCCTTTAAAGAACTAACTGAAAAGAAATACTTTCTTAAGAGTCTCTTCATACTTTAAATAACTTAAATATAAAAATACAGGTAGACTGAAAAATACCCAAAGATACCTTCATGACCAGATTAGAAATTAAGCTATATTTAAGGGAGGGAGAATAAAATAGAAGAGAATTAAAACATACTATCCTTCAGCCATAAAAAGGAATGAGGTTCTGATACATGCTATGGAGGAATCTTGAAAACATTATGTTAAATAAAATAAGCCAGACACGAACAGACAAATATTGTATGATTCTACTTATATGAAATATCCAGAATAGGCAAATTCATAGAGACAGAAAGTAGATTAGTAGTTACTAAAGGCAGGGGCAGTGGCGAATGGGAGTTACTGCTTAATGGTTACAGAATTTCTGCTTGGGGTAATGAAGAAGTTTTGGAATTAGTCATGGTTGCACAAAATTGTGAGTGTCATTAATGCCACTGAACTGTACACGTAAAAATGGTTAAAATGGCAAATTTTATGTTATATATATTTTACAACTTAAAAAATGAATAATGTAATATACCAGAAACCACTGAATTGTACCCTTTATATGGGTGAATTATATAGCATGTGAATTATATCTCAATAAAACTATTAAAAAAAGACTATCCCTGGGCCGGCCTCGTGGCTTAGCGGTTAAGTGAGTGTGCTCCACTATTGGCGGCTGGGGTTCGGATCCCGGGCACGCACCGACATACTGCTTCTCCGGCCATGCTGAGGCCGCGTCCCACATACAGCAACTAGAAGGATGTGCAACTATGACATACAACTATCTACTGGGGCTTTGGGGGGAAAAATAAAAATAAAAAATAAATAAAAGTCAATTGACCACAAAAAAAAAAAGACCATCCCTTACATGTTACCTTGTCATCTTGTAAAGCTCTGAATATTGTTAAATGAATTTACCAGGAGCAGAACTAGGTGATCAATATTTGAAAACTATGATTCATACTTCTGACCCAATGCTTAGGTTTTACAAATAATCACTAATCCTTTTGGCAGTTTAGAACACAGGAGAGCCTTCTATCTTCTGCATACTTGGTTATGTAACTAATTTACTATCTTGCAATGAATGCCTCTCAGACCATTTTCAAAATAATCTCTTGGCTTGATTCTCCTTGAGTACAGTCAGCCTGAAAAGTATGGTTGGAAACTACTGTCAGAACAAAACAAACTACAACATTTAGTTTTTATACCTCTCAGCTGTAGGTTAACTACAGATCAGAGCATCCCAGTATCTAGAAAAACCGGTGGCACATATCGGCTTTTGATACATATTTGTTGATATGAGAGAACAGTTGCATTTACTGCTTAGGAAACTGTCAAGACTCTGGGTCAGATAACAGCACTTTGAGGAGCAACAGACCAGCTCAGAAGGCCCCTGGGAGTTGATTTCTGGGCTTATACTTGCTTCCTCTGCTGGCTCTCTGCTTCTCCCATAGGTCAGTCATCAGCAAGACCAAAGCGTTCCCTTCTAAATAAGCATCATAAAGGAGCCCTAGGTCTAGAGAGAACAGAATGAGGCCATCAGGTATTTTTAAAAGTATTTCATTTCAATGAAAATTTGTTTCAGAAAAGGCCACAATAACCTTTTGAACTAAGTGAACAGGAGAGCTACATTTTAGTCATTAGTTCTACTGTTGCCTCAAAACAATAGTAACAAAACAGAAAAGAAAAATAATTGATGGGGACACCCAAAATCTAACTACTTTTACCATTTCTCATATCAGAGGTAACAAAGTAATATGATTTAGACTAGAATTTGCCAAAAGCCAGTAAACCTTTTCTATCCCACTAGTCAAATACAAATAACACAGAACAAGGATTACATCTTAAAAGCAGCTTTTGAAGGAAAAAAAGGTGGGAATAATGATCTTTTACTGTGTGGCTATTGAAGGTACCTATATCATTGACGGGGCAAGGAGAAAATAAACCTTCCACAAGTGAGTTAGCCATAATTTATAATAACCTGAGGAAAAAAAAAGACTCTAGACTTGACAATTCTATTTGAAGGAGGGGAAAAGCTGGTAAGCTCATTATCACCTTCCTGAACCCTTTCAAAAAAAATTATACAGTCATAGCAAAGTGTCACAAACATACCCCGAATCCGAATTCTACCTTGGCTCTGTGGAATAAGAAGCTTGGATTTGGCCCTTCGAGGAGAGCTTCGATTCCTCCATCCTCTAGCCAGAGCCCCCACCATGGTTGTTGACAGCATGCTCCCCAGGCAGCTGTGGCCCTGCTGGGCGACGGGGAGGGGGCGGACGGCCCTGTCAGGCTGCCACGGTCAGAAGAAACATGTCCACCCGGGAAGAGGTGCTACACCCAAGGCAGACAGGTCCGGGCAGGTCCACCCACCTTCGTTCTCCACCCACATTCTCATCCTTGTGTTGTTAGCCCTCCCTCAGGAGGCCCTGCGAAAGTCTGAGAGATGAGACAAGAAAAAACAGACAGCAGCAGAAATAAAAATGAGGCTATGAACAGAGTCAATCAATAGAAGAGGATGGTCAATATTACAGACGTGCCAATCTCCATCAGAGAAGAGCTTTTTTTTTTCGATTCTTCATTTTTCACTTAAAGAAGTCTAATTTTTCAACATTTCAAAATGACTGCATGTATGGGGGTGGGCTGGGGCATGTACCTATGTACCTATTTCTCTTTTCCCAGCCTATTTTATCTCCCAAATTGGAACAGCTTTTGGGCCATTGTTTTTCCAAAGAGAACCATTCTTCTAGATAAACAGAATTTTGTTTACAATATATGAAAAGTATTTCCAATGTTCTGAGTGTTCACAGAATTCAGCTTTTGTGGATACGGAAAGTTTGTTAAGGGATTTAGTAAAAATTCACAATCATGTAAACTCTCAAAGGTTTTAAAAAATGAATCGAATCCAGTGGCCTAATTCTTTTCTCTCTCCTGGTGAGCTAGCTGGAGTTGCCTCACACTGAGTAGGTGGGACTCGAGCTTCACTCATGTAGTACGTTGCTCACACATGCCCCCTAATGGTCAGATGCCAGGTGCACATTGGTTAGAGACCAGTGATTGCATTAAAGCCATGGGAGGGGCAAGTGGTCAAAAGTTCTAGAATCCCTTGGGTATCTCTATGCTATACTCATTCAGCCTGGATAGTACTAATATTGAATTACCTGTAGGCAGCCTGAGAGGTTTTGATATTATTTACTGTCCTTATGACATTTATGGATTACACAGACGGAATGATCCATACCTGATGTCACTCTTTTTCTCCCTTCCCTAGTTATACCTTATTTAATAAGACTGAGGTTGTGTTTGCAGGAGGCAGGCAAATTCCCCAAATCTCTCCATATTCATCACAAGTTTTTTTTTTTTTTAAAGCCTACAGTTTACTAAAAAGTAGCAGTGTTTCGAGGATATACCCTTTACATATTCATTTAGTTGAAATTTGCCTCATTTGCTCATTATTTTGTCATTTCCAAAATTTAGAAGAACTTTAGGATCATAGCAGATGGAAGGAAAGTAAAAAAGGAAGGATGGGAATTTGAAATGGTGTGAGAGCAGGAAGCTGCTGGCTCTACTCCCTCCACACCCCAACTCGGGGGGGTGGTTCAGACACGCATCTGGGGTGCAGTGTGCGATCGTGGGGGGCAGTATTTGATGAGAGGTGCAAGCCCCATTCCTCCCTGCAGTGCACCTCTCCTCCTTCACGGGAGTGGGGGCGCCCTTTGCCATGGGCGGCTCCTTCTACCACAGAGGGCTGAGCGGGGCTCTGATGGGGTTCAGCGGACAGCTGCTCAGCGACAATGCTATCTGCCCTTAGGGAAAAGGGCAAAGAGGCCTTCAACAGTCTCTCAGTGTCTGTCACCTCCAGAGTCACAAAGACAGGCTGAACCTGCCTTCTGCTGGGGACCCTCCCTGTGGGAGTGGGGAGGTGTCTGGGGAAGAACAGTAGGGGAGCCAGGTACTCAAGCCTGGGGTCTGGTCTCTGCCGGGAGGCGAGGGATTAAGCAGGGATCTTGAGGATGGTCCAGGGTCACTTGTCAGGGACAGAATCAGGAGGTGGGAACAGGGCATGTGCAATTACTTTGAATCATCTCTCTTAGGGACTCTGTGTCCAGTTGCAGGAAGTTGAATGGACTGGGGAGGAGGCTTGGCAGGGATTCCAGGAGAGGCTCTATCAGGACAAGCAGAATCCTTGGGGTGAGGTGGCAGAGATGACACAGCGATGCTGAAAGCAAAAGATTAGCCACGAAGAGTATAAGAATGGCTACCACACTCCAAACGGAGCTCTCCTTGGAGGGCTTGATCATTACTGCTGCCACATATCTGAGATCCCTAGAGCCAACAGACACCCGTCCCCAGAAGTCCAAGGCGGAGACACCGGACTTGTGGCCAGAGCCATTTCTGAAGCACAGCGAACTGCCCAAATTCAGACAGAGAACCCTGCACAGCTGCTGTTACCAGCCACCAGAGGTGACACGGAAATATGTGAGAAAGTAGGTAAATGGATACTTCAATTGATACTTCAAAGAAAATTCCCCAAACCCCACACCTTTGTGTTCTCCTGGTTCTCTCGGCACACAACCCCAGGGCTTCTCACACTCGACTGCTTACTTACGCCTGTCCCACTCAACCAGCCACCCCCAAAGCTCACTGTGCATCAGAAACACTCTCCAAAATACAGATTCCCAGGGCTCACCCTGAAATGACCGCTCTACTAAGTCTAAGACAGGAAGCCTGCATTTCCTCTAGCTCCCCATGCTTTCTTTCATTTTCAGCCTGGAATCAGTCCAAGGAGGGTGTGAAGAAACCAACTTACTTGACTGTGGGCTTCATGGAGTCAGGGACCACGACCTTTATTACCTTTGGGCCCAGCACAAAGTTCGTTGGATGAAGAGAATCAACAGTGTGGCCGGGGGCCCAGCAATGCGCACCCCTTGTCTCCACACTGATCGGCTGCCTGATACCTTTATCCCTCCATGAACGCCCTTGCTTGCCACTACCCCCAACGCCACCCTGGCTGCAGGTGCCATCTAATGACATCATCTTGCCTCTTCTCACCCCAGGCCCCCTGGAGTGCCCACACTTCACTCGCCTGTGATGTTCTGGTCCAGAACATGATTTGTCAGGGCCTCAGTTTCCTGTCCCTTCCAGCCGACAAAGAATGGCTCCATCTTTGCTTCAGACGTCTCAGGCCCGAGAGACACTGAAAAGGGTCTGTGTGTAAACTCAAGGCTCAGGCTTCACAGCAGCATCGAACCCTCTGCTGTCCTCAGTTTGCTAGTGGTAGCAGATGGATGCTCAGTATCCAAGGCTTTCCCTCCAAGGGTTCCCCCCACAGGAAGCTGAGTGATGACCATGACTGCTGTGGGCAACGCGGTCAGGAAGAGGAAGGAGAGTAATGTCCTGCCTGTGTGGGTCAACCCCACCCTTCCCAATTCACACACATGCTTCCTTCAGCAGACCCGCCATAGGCCGACCGTGTTCTCCCACCAGGATGCAAAGGGAAACAGCTTCACCGAGAGTGCATGAGGTCATTTTCCCCCAAGTCAGTTCTGTCATAAGAGACCCTCCCCCTCCACTCATGCAAAGCGACACACTGAGGAAGGAAACACACTTTTTCTTTAGACAGGATATCTAGAAAACCAGAATCAGGCCGACAGCTTTTTACAGGCCAATAGGGCTGACAACAAACTTTAGTTCATAGATCTTTGCTCCTAATATCCTATGGTGACTATGAGTTACCAACTATTCTGTGAATTTCATAAACATAAATACTGTCCCCATCCACCCTTTAAAGAAGACGAAGGCTGAGTCGGGCCATTTGCTTCTTTGGAATCTCTTAGGATCTACCACAGTTCTGGGCACTTAGCAAACGCTGGTTGTATAAGTGCATGTCAAGCTGGGAGGATACGGTTGTCAACTGTTAAAATGTGCATTAAGCCATCAGAATTAAGTACGACTTCCATCTCTCTAGCAAATTTCTGACTTCCTACTCTTACCTTGGGAAGGAGCTGTTGGGGTGGAGGGTGGGGCAGTGTGTGGGGAATTTCTTCCTCACTCCTGATGTTTTCTTCCATCTGGGTAGGGTTCCAGGAGCTCTGGTCCCTCTTCGACCCCTCACACAGACTTCTCTAGGGGGCAGGAATCAGGAATTACATCAGTGAGTGTAGAAGGGAAAACTGGGCAGGTGTAATGTAGCCCCACTCTTCGGCTCCTCTGGCAGAGAGGCGCCCTCAGGTAGCACACGAGTTGCTTTACTTCTCGATGCCATAAGTGTGACATATGTAAAATCCGCTCCTGTGTGGGGAGGGCTGCCTGAGTTCAGCCACTGCATGGGGAAGCTTCTGATTCTGAGTTTAGTATTAAGATGCCCACCTGCCCACAGATATAAGGCACAATCTCCTACGTCAGCTTTATCAATGATGAAGGTGAGGGTTTAGTCTCCATCTGTCTTACTCCTTTGTTTCAAATTCTCAAATTGGTTCAGAACCTGGGCGGGGGGAGAGGGTCTTTATTACCTTTCCCCCTAGGCCCCAAGAGCAGCGGACTGGCTCACGGACATGGCCTTTGGGGAACAAAATAACTCCCGAGGACTGATGCTTCAGGACGATGCTATACGAAGTGTGAGCCATTGGTGTGGATTTGGTGATTTACAGCAAATTTTCTTGTGCCATAGTTAGCTTTTACGGTGAGGCAGTCGGCTTTTTTGGTGAGCTGGTGAGCTTAAGCCTTATCCCATGTACAATTTTTACGTTGCTGGCTGATTCAGCTTAGATGGCTTTGCCCACAGGTGAGTGGCTCTCTCTAGAGTGTCAGGCCTGCAGGCATCAGGCTGTCACAAGCAGGGCTCGGGCCTCACCCCCTAAGCAGATGGCTGGGCGGCCTCAGCAAGTGCAGGCTTAGCCTAATGCTGGGGACCTTCAGGAAGCAGGCCACCACTGCTTACCCTTGACCTCCACAGGTGCAGGGTTTCTGAAGCAGGTGCATCGAAGCAAAGAGTCAACAAGAGGAAAAGGAGAGTCTTTGTGCTCACAGGCCTTTTAGACATCAAGAACTTGCAGAGCAGCAAGTTCTGTACGCATTGCTGAGTAGGCTGTGGCTTCAAATGGTTATTGCCAGCCCCATCCAGGCAGCACCGGATCAGCTGCTCCAAATCCCATTCTGCATTCAAGGCCAAGAGGAAACTGAGGAGGGGCAGAATTTGGATTTAGGTGGCCCCTCCACAGATCTGAGAGTCTTCCCACACTGTGGGGCCTCAAGTTGGCCCTAGATCTCTTGGTTCTCTCACTCAGGTAC